GGGCGGCGGGACCGGGCGTGCACCGCTCCCGTCGTCCGGGGTGAGAAAATCCCCGTTCGTATCTGCGGATCTGACATAAATCGGATCCGCGTAACTCGGGGACTGCCTGTTTGTATGAAAAGTCATGGAATATAGGAGAGATTCTAAAAGACCGGAAAAGAGCAAATATAGTGGCCATCAATAAAAAGGGAAATAAAGGCAACTGAAGAAATTACAAACAGGTCATCTTAACATCTGTATCAGAAAAGATAATGAACCTAGATTTGTAGAGAACAAATTTGTCAAACAGATCTGATAGATTTGACAGGAAAACAAGCCTTGTGGATAAGGGGAAGCAGTCAAGGTGGTATATTTGGACTTTAGTAAGACATTTTATAACAACCTTGCATGGCCTTCTCATTAACAAAATAGGAAAATACAACCTAGATGGAACTACGTTAAGGTGGGTGCATGAATGGTTGGATAACCATTCTCAGAGAGTAGTTTTCAATGGATGACAGTCAGGCTGGAAGGGCATAAGGAGTGGGGTCTGACAGAGATCAGTTCAGGGACCAGTTCTGTTCAGTATCTTAATCAATTATTTAGATAATGGGATAAAGAGGACACTTCTAATGTTTGTGATGATATAAAGCTAGGAGATGTTGCAAATGCTTTGGAAAATAGGATTATAGTTCAAAATTACCTATATAAACTGTAGAAAAGGTCTGAGGTAAATAGGATGAAATTCAATAAGGACAAATAGAAAGTATTCCAATTAAGAAGGAACAATCATTGCACACACCTACAAAATGGAAAATAACTACCTAAGGCAGCATTTCTCAAACTGTGGGTCGCGACCAACTTACATGGGGGTCGCAGCTGGATCCGTTATTTTTCTTGAAAAAATTTGCGTCTCCTCGGGGGCTCCGTCCGGTTAAAAGAAACATGAAATACTGGATGGAAGCCCGGCGGGGACAATTTTCCCCTGCCATGTCGGGCAGGGGTGGAGGAGTGCCCCAGAGTCTAGTGAAGAGGGGGCAGGAGGGAGTAGTTGCCGGGCGCCACGCTAGGGGAGTGCCGGGCTGCGTGGAAGCGGAGCGCGCGATGCTCTGGCCAACGTGAGCAGCAGAGACCGGCAGCTGGCCACGTGATGCCTTCCCTACAAGCTGCAAGCTGAGGCAGCCGGGCCAGGTGGCAGGAACCGCCACTTTAAAAGTAAGAGTGTTCTTCTGTGCCTGGCTCTGCAGGGGTGACAGAAGAAATGTGACTGGAGCAGAGGCTCCTAACACTTAGGATGCGTGCAAAAGGGGGAGGAGGGAGTGCACTGGGATGGGGGGATTCTAGGGGGGGCCTGCCTCAAGGAGAGTGCACTGGGATGGGGGGGCCCTAGGGGGACCTGCCTCAGGGGGAGGGGTGGGCGCAGTGGC